CGTTGCCAGCGGGAATGCGACAGGTATAGTCGTTTTAGACACCAGTTCGGCAGTTCATCAAAAAGTTCAACGTGAACTTAACACATGACCCATTACTCTAACTCCCAACTTTACACTCAAATGAAAACATATGAATACACAATAACCAGTAAACAGATGTTCACAGCAACATATTCACAACAGCCAAATGGTGGAAACAACCCAAATGTTCACCAACTAATGAATAAGTAAAACGGAGGATACCCATACAATGATTATCATTCAGCTGTAAAAAAGAATGAATGCCTGATACAAGCTACAACATGGGTGAACCTCAAAAACATTATGCTCCATGAAAGACCGTTACCGAAGACCACATTCTGCACTTTTCCATTCAGATGAAATGACCAGAACCCACAAGTCTACAGAGCAAAAAAGTAGATGAGCACTGGGGGAGGGAAGGCTGGGGAAAGAAATCTGATGGACTGCTAATGGGTACGGGGTCTCTTCGGGGTGACTGTTCTAGAATTATGGGGTCAGCTGCACAGCTCTGAATACACTAAAAACCATTAAACTATATACTTTAAATCATTAATTTTGTGGCATTCTACATCATATCTCAACAAAGCTGTTAAAAATTTAAAAGACTAGGGGTGCCTGGGTGGCTCAAGTGGTTAAGAGTCCAACTCCTGATTTCAGCTCAGGTCACAATCTCACAGTCATGAGACTGAGCCCGGCATCAGGCTCCATGCCCAGCATGGAGATTCTTAAGATTCTTAAGATTCTCTCCCCACCTCTTCCTTTGCTCCACCCCCCCCCTCTCCCCCCCTCACAGGTGGTGCACACCCCACACATGGCCTCTCAAAAAAAGTAAGATTAAACTCTAATGAAGATACACATCAGAGTCACATTTGGGGTGGCAGTGATCGGGAAGGGACATAAGGGAGGTTCCCTGAGTGGAGGTAATGTTCTGTACCTGGCGTTGCTCGGGTAGTTACAGGAAGGGGAATACTAAATTCACTTAAAGGCACCATTAAGTTTTCTAGGGCCTGGAAAAGAGCTAGATGCATAAGACATTACATGTGTGACTACAATCTTAATTAAATGAAAAAAAAAAAACCCCAAGCAAAAAAAGTCTCAGAAAAAAATAATTATTTCTCCCTTCCTATCGAAATGAGGAAAAACCCAAGGAATTGAGAAGTTTAAATGACTCTCTTGAAGGTCGCTATCTCTAAGTCAATGACAATTAAAGTTTTGATATTCCATTTGGTAGGTATACAATGTATACATAAACAAAACGCCTCTCTGTTCCCTAACTTTATCAATAATTATCATGCTCACTTCCTCCTCCCAAACACTAAAAAAAGTAAATGATCTTTAAGGAGCAAAGACACCTTATTATTTTCCTCAAAAAATGCAAGTCTGATGGACAGTAGAGACCTTATCGAAATTCAGTGTACTCATCATCCACAGCACCTGCCAATAGTTTAGTATTACCACCAAGTGTTGAATAAATATTCAGAAGTTTGAAATTGAAATCACTTCTACTTATGGTTTATTCTTTTCAAGGTGGATTTCGAATTCTTCTGATATTTTGCTGAAGTGGCAGTTAACTGAATGCAATATAGGAGGTTTGCTGAGATTTAAATACAGTCTCATAAGTACCTTCAGAGATGGCTTTTTAAAAAAAATTATAGAACGAGGGGTTTCTGGAAAAAGTGCAGTGAGTAGTCGAAAGAGCTGTCCTGGCTATTAGGTCACGATTCAGCTGGGTTCCCAGGAGGTTCGAGTTCTCAATGGGTTTCATTGATAGCTCTGGAGCCTGAGCCTGTTTCTCGACGTCTCCTCTCTGCCCCTCCCCCCCACTGCCTGCGTGCCTGTTCTCTGTCCCAAAAATAAATAAACACAAAAAAAAATTTGGAAAAAAAAAAAGTTTGGGAAAACAGAAACGAAAATCTCGCGGACGGTCGGCTGGGCAACCCAATCCCCTTGCTCGGGAAGCCTCAACATAACGGTCTGTTTTCGGATCATGCCTTTGATGGCTCTTCCCAAAGCAACAGCTCAGAGCCTGCTTGGGATTCCTCTCTCTCCCCCACTCCCCAGACTACTGCCCCTGTCTCTAAAATAAACAAGCAAACTTAAAAAAAAAAAGATAAATAATTTTAATGGTGATGAATGTGGAAAATGTGAAACTAAGTAGAATGACTGCATAATGATTCATAAACCATGATTTCAAGTAATGACTGTAACAAAACTCTTTTTAATTAAATGGTAATAAGGAATGGTATAGGTACTTAACAATAACAATAATATAATACAAATGTAATAATAATAATAATGAAGAGAAAAAAAGTTTCTTCTCAAACAAAAAAAAAAATTTTTAAATATTCACTGGAAGATACTAGTTTGCTTGTGGAACCCTCTTGACTTGGAACCAAACCAAAGTCAAATGGAT